CTGTGGGGGAAGGAGAGGGTGGGACGAACTGAGAGAGGAGCATGGAAATACATACGTCACCATATGTAAAATGGGCAGTCCGTGCGGATTTAGTGTATGGCTCAGGAGCTCAAGCTGATGCTCTGTGACAACCTAGAGGGGTGGGGTGGGGTGGAAGGTGGGAGGGAAGTTCAAGAGGGAGGGGACATACATACACCTATGGCTGATTCATGTTGATGTACAGCAGAGACCAACACAATATGGTAAAGCAATTATCCTCCAATTTAAAATAAATCCCTTAAAAAAGATTTGTGTCTTTTTAAAGTATGATATGTGAGCTCTTAAATATCTTGAATGTAAGATACACCTTTAAAAAAAGGGTCACACGTAAGCCCCTCCCAGTCTTCTGTCCAAGTGGCTCCTGCCAGGCTTGGAACAGGCAGGAGGGGTCTTCTTTCCCAGGGGGAGTCCTGCCAGGGAGGGGAGGCCTCCAGGGCACAGATGACAATTCCTAATCAGGAAACATCTGCCCAAGAATCAGAATCTGAAGCCCAAAGGGCCCGAACCACACCCAGCCCCTCCTTCTACCCATTTTACAGATGAGAAGACTGAGGCCCAGAGAAAGCAATTAAAGTCACAAGCAAGAAGAACTCAACTTTATGCCATACAGTCTTCCCATTTCAGAGATATTTAGAGCTGCAAGGTGGTTAGGGAGCCTCTACCCACTGTATCATTTTATGGAGGGGAAACAGAAGCTGGGGGTAAGGAGGGCAGGTGGTGATTTAGCTGGCTCTGGTTTCTCCAGAGTCTATGAGCCTCCATTTCTTTATCTGTAAGATGGGGATGTGTACAGGCTGCTTCATAGGGCTGAAGACTGAATTAGCTAATATGCACTAAGTGCCTAATACATCTTACTTGTTATTATTTATTGCTTTCAGCCTCCTGACTACCTTGCCAGCCAGCAGGACAAACCTTTGAGGACTGGTCTTCATCACTCTTGCTGTAGATGCTCTGATTCAGAAATGGTCCAGGCTACTACACAAGAGGCACTTTCCTCACCTGTCTTCCTCACTCTCTTAAAGGAAGGTGAGGCCTGATCCTTCAGATGAACCTAGAGTTAATGATGAAGAACAAGGACTCTGGAGCCAGACACTGAGAGAGGCAAATCCAGGCTCCAATGCTGTGCCCCCTTGTGCCAGTTTCTTAACCTCTCTGAACCTTGGTTTCTTCATTTGTTAAAGGGGGATAAAATCACACCTCCCTCATAGAAATTTTATCAGGATTAAATGAGATAATGCACAGTACCTGACACGTGGTAAGCTCTCCGTAAATGTGAGCTATAATCGTTATAATAGTCCAGGAACCTCTGTGACTATCATCAAGGTGTTCCTTTTCATCACTTCCACCCCAAGATGAGGAGAGGCCACTAGTTTGCCACGTGGGATTAAGAATGTGGTTTTTGTCAAAGAATTGCTACTTAAATCAATTTAGAAATTCTGTTTTACACATAAATTAGTGCAAAAACAGAACACTGCAACATGCATACATGGCTGGTTGCCACATAAATGGTCTTTTTGGAAAGTGGTTTTTGGCCACAGCCATAAAAGTCAATATCATCTGACCCAGTAATACCACTCCTGGGAATTCAGCCTAAAGAAATAACTCAATTGACTTAAAAAGAAAAAAACAAAAAACAACTATCTGCATGAAATCAATCCTGCAATGAGCATCCAGAAGAAAAAATAATTAGAAACAACCTACATCTCCAGCAACAGGAGACAGCCAAAGGACTGATGGATGGGGAAGGCTGAGATGGATCCAGGATCTTATAACCATCATTAAGATGGTAATTACTAGCAACACCAGCAACTCGGGAACAATGTCCACATTCTGATAAAGGACCAAAAGGGGAAGGGCTTCATAAACAAATAAAATGGTGGAACTAAATGTAATTCCCCTCCCCAATCTTTTGACATTTTTTCAATTAACAACAACAAAGATAAAAACATAAGACAAGCGATTTTTCCTAAGCCCTCAAATGTGACTCCAACTTGAGCTCTGCAGGGAGAGAGTGGGCCAGAGAGACCTTTCCTCCCTTTTAGTAGTCAGTCCAGCGGGGCGGGGAAGGGGGTGATGCAGAGAGGTGGGGAGGAGCAGGGGTGTGCTGAGATGTGCAGGGGTGGGGACAGGAAAGGGACCGAGTGTAATCAGGGAGGACCTCTGGGAGGAGGTGTCCTCAGAGCAGACTTAAACGATGAGTATAGATAAGCTGGGGGTAATCTAGGCAGAAGAAGGAGGAACTGGGAAACATGCTGGAAATGAAATGGCAGCCTTGGAGCAGGCTGGAGTCGGCTATCACAGGGGAGCCTAATGGTGAGCTTAAGGAAGATTCCTGGGGTGGCCTGGAGGAGGATGGATGGAGGGGTGTGCCTGATCAGGTGGGAAACCAGCAAGGGGGCTGCTGCAAGCACCCACAGAGAAATGAGGTTGACAGGGAGGAGGAGGGAGAGACAGGAGCTGAGCAGGGCTTCCCAGGGTACACCTGAGAAGCAGGTTGGCAGAGGACCTGAGTTCAGGTTGGGACATGATGAAGGCAGGGGGCTGGTGGGATGCCCGGGGGAGGTGCTCAAGAAGCAGTGGGTCTGTTGGTCTGAAGCTTGGAGAGAAACCTGGGCTGGGGACGAAGCTGGTTTGGGGGCAGTATGGTGGAATGGTGTCGGAAGCTTCAGGGTGTGGTTGAGTTCTGCCAGGGAGAGCAAGAGGAGGGCCAGGAAGGGTGCACCTGTTAAAGGAGGAGGACCCAAGAGGGGACAGAGAAGCAGGGAGGGAGGATGGGCGGGTGAGAGGTACCTAGAAGCCCAGGGCATGGAGATTTGTAGGAGGAAATGATCTCTGGGGTCAGACGTCAGAGAGGGGTCCAGCAAGAGAAGGACTGAAATGTTCCTGTTCAATTTATCAACTTAACACCATGAGTACTTCTGGTGAATCAAGGTAGGAGAGAGATTAGTGGTGATAAAGTAGATCCTGAAGAGTATCCTTTTGAAGTTTTTGGAGAAGGGAAGGTTTTTGAGACGGGAAGAGGGAAGCTAGTCAGTGGCTGAAAGGTGCATGAGCTGAGACCAGTAGTCTGATCCCGAGTCCACTGGGTTCCAAGTCCCAGCCACTGCCAAACACCCCAAAGAGATTGTCTCTGGCTGCTGTCAGGCTCAGAAGGCAGTCCTGGTGGGCAGGCAGCCCCTCCATGTCCCCTGCACTCAGAAAGCAGGAGTGTGTACAGGGAAGCAGGACTTCTCCACCCAGGAAGCTGACCTGGTGCTGAATCCCAGCCACTAGGATCCCCCCAATCTCAGCGGGCTAACTGGAGGGGAGCCCACCCTGCCAAATGCACAGATGCTGGGGGAACAGGTCCAGAGCAAGCCAAGCCCTGCCAGCCCCAGAAGTGGGAGGAACCACGGGAGCCATCTGGGTGTGGGGGCAGGGGCTAGGGCAGGCAAGAGGAAATTGATTGAAGACCAGATTTTTTTTTTTTACATTAATAAAATCTATTTTCTAAATGGAGGATTTGTTCTCATTTTAAATTTTAGCTATTTTAAAAAAAATTAGTAATATTAGAACTTAATGATAAAAACAGCACTCAGATTGAGACCTCTGTGAGAGGCCTGTTAGAGGGGGTCTTGTGTGTGAGGAGGTCTCTGAACCCCAGGTTTGGGGTTGGCTGTGATAACTGCCTGGCTGTGCTGCGACACCCTGCGGGGTGGGTGCAGGCAGCAACACAGACTTTCTGGAGGGCCACTGGGCCACAGGTAAGGACAGGCTTCCACACAGCATCTCCTGTGCTGCTCCGCCAGGGATTTAACTGAGAGCCATGGAGAGGGAAGAGTCCCTGCCTTTCCTTTATTCCAGCCACTCTCCCCCCTTCACCAGCTGCACTCGGTTTAGGGGGAGGTAATAAAGGGGGCAGCCGGTGCTTGGGCCTCATTCTGCCCCCTCCTTCCATGGATCCCATTCTGCTGTGAACCCCCTTCTCAGCAGTCTGGAAATCATGGATGCTGGAAGTGGTCAGGGTCTCCTGGATGTCTGTCCAGACTAATTTGTCCAGCTCCCCCTCCAGGTGGTTCCAAATAGGTTCTCAGAGGGAGGCAGGGGTCTGGCAGCTTCAAAGGAGAAATGGCTGGTCCAGGATCACAGGACAGCCAAGAGCGGACTGCCCCTATTGGGCCCCTCGTGTCTGACTCCAAGCCTGAGACAGGAACATCTGAAAAAGGTGACTGGAGGGGGAGAAACCCAGATGGGACCTACTCTCCACTCAGCCCTCAACCTAGAGCTGCCGGCTTCCAGGCATCTTGGCAGGTCTATCGTCATCTGAGCTTCTGCTGTCCATGTCCATGGTCCAAGCCCAGTTGGGGGACTTAGGGGTACAGAAGGTAAGGAGCATCCCGGTTTGGTTTATGAGACACTGTTCCCTGCCATTCCGCAGGAGAGGAGGACCCCGAGTCCCTCAGACAGCCCTCCTATCTCCTGAGCCAGGGGACTGAGTGTGTGGCTGGTGCTGCTTTGGGGATGTCAGAAAGAAGGAAATGAAACGGACATTTAAAGAGGTCCTTGTACGTGCCGAGCATTTCCACGTATCTACATTTTAATCAATCCACACTACAAGTGGGCACCGTTATACCCATTTTACAGACTCAGAAACTGAGGCTTACAGGGGTGCCTGGAGGGAAAAGGATCAGGAGTGAGCTTTTCCCGCGCGCTCCCTGCGCCGCAGTCAGGGTGAATTTCCGGCCTGTGTGCCCTCCCTGACTCCTCCCTTCTTCCCTGGGAGGAAGGGCCAACCATCCCCTTTGCACAGACGGAAACCCAAGACTCAGAGACTCGAGGGCGACCCCCGCCACAGGGTACCTGAGCCGGCGGTGGCCGCAGGACCCGGGGAGGCCCTCGACTCCCGGGGATGCCCTCGACTCCAGCGCGCGGCCCCTCCCACCCCCGGCCGGGTCCCCGACGGCGCGCGGCGCGGCGCTCACCTCGATGCGGTCGATGCGGTCCCGGAGGGCGCGCACCGCGTCTTCTAGCTCGAGGATGAGCGCGGGCGAGTCCCAGGGCCCGTCGGCCATGGTGTCGCGGCGGGGCCCGGCTTCCTGGAGGCCGCGCGGCAGGCCGCTCTCGCAGCGGCCCAGCTTGCCGGTGAGCTCGCGGATGGTGTCCTGGTCGGCGCGGATGCGCGCCTCCTGCTGCAGCGCCGTCTGGCGCAGCTGCTCCGCGGTGCTCTGCAGCAGCAGCAGCTCCTCGCGCTCGCCCGGAGCCGCGTCCCCCGGCTCGGCCCCCGACGGGCAGGCGGCCGCCAGCGGCGTGCACAGGAAGCGGCTGAAGAGCGGTACGGGCGGCAGCGGGAGAGGGGCGGGGGTGGCGCCGGGAGCCTCAGCCAGCCGCCGTCGCCTCGAAGAGGGCGGCGACCCGGTGGCCGGGCGGCGGGACTCCTGGGCGACCCCCGCCCCACCCCACCACGGCTTTCTGGCCCCCTCCCCGAACCCACCAGGCCGTCTGCAAGCTTGCGGGGAGCTTTTCTCCACGTCGGGCTCTGCGCTGAGGGAGCCAGGGGCTTGATCACAATTAAGCCTCACCGTGGACACGTTCCCAGTACAAATGAGAATGAGACCCACAGGGGTCAGGTCGCTGTCCAAGGTCACACGGCTAGTATGCGCTGCAGCAGCATTTGAGCTCGGAGGCATCTGAGTGGACCCAGACTATGCAATGGAGCTGGGGTGGGCCTAGGGAGAGCTAGGAAAGAGGCCAGTGTTAGGGGGAGGGGACCGGAGATTTTGACCCAACCTCTAGTTATACTATGGCCACCCAACCGTCCTTTCCCATCCCAACCCCTTGAAAGAGCAGAGATGACTCCTCTTAGCCCCATATAAAAAAAAAAAATTTTTTTTTTCCCTGTGATTTCAGAAGGTAGCAGAAGTCCCCCCCTCTGAATCTTCAGGAGCACAGAACATCAAGGGTCGCTGAGAAGACCCTCTCCCACTGCAGTCTACAGTAGCATGGCAAAAGCTGGGTGGGCAGGCGGACCCGGCATTGTAAAGAGCAAGTGGGCATGGGAGCGGGCTGTGGTGCTGGGGTGATGCAGGAAACTTACTTTCTCCTGTTGAAAATGTCTATATACATTTTGTTGCAAATTAACTCGCAATGAAAAATGTTTTAAAAAATTCTAACATCCTTCAGAATCCAGCTCCATCTCCAATTCTCCATGAGGCATTTCCTGGCCAGCGTGGGTTTCCAGGACTTGGAGAATGTTCAGAAGGCTGGGATAGAGGAGAGGGGCTGTGGTTCATGGGAGGACGTGCCAAGGCCACACCCAGTTCAGTCCTGAGCCAAGGCCGCACCCAGGCCTGTCTCCCTGCCAAGCCTGCATTCTTGACTTGAAGGGAAGGCCCACGGTGGGGCTCTGGACCACCAGGGATGCAGTGTGGTCTCAGCAAAGTGGTGGGGAGAGACCAGAACATTTCTCAGGATCAACAGCCCTGGGAGGCCCTGTGTGGCCGCTGAGATCCTGCCCAGGGGTCCTCTGGGTACATCTCACACACTCCACCCCACCCCCAGCCTCAGGATCATTCCTGCCCTGCTTACTTGATCTCTGGGAGTTGAGGGTTACCTGACTCGTAAAGTAGGAGCAAATCAAATGCCAGCTCTGTACACGATGAACCCCCAGAGCTATATGTGCATGGATGTGAGTTAATACTCACTGGAACAGTGACCTGGAAATCCGCCAAGCAGCACAGCTTGAGGAAGCATCTCCCCAACAGAGAGGTGGGCCAGGCTCTCTGAAGGTAAAGGCAGGCAGGCAGTAGGGGGCCACAAAGTCCTGCAGGCACGTGAGGCTTTGGGACTCCTGGTACATCTACCTGTGTTCTACGAAGACAGAAGCACTCACATTCTATCTTGGAAGGGCAGAGAAGGCCAAGAGAGGGGCCTACTGCCCAGAGCAGCAGGCCTTTGTGACTTGGGCATCAAATGGTGCCCCCTTTATGTAAGCTGCTCCATGAGCGATGGAATAGTTGGATACATGGGTCCAGAGGCTGGAGTAAAATTTTGCTCAAAGTGATCTGTTTATCCCCTAGAATGACTTTTTAAACCTCTGATATGAACATGTCACTCTCCTGCTTACAAACCTATTAGTGGCTCCCCGTTGCCACCCCTTTGGGGCTTCCCTGGTGGCTCAGCGGTAAAGAATCTGCCTGCAATGCAGGAGATGCAGGCTCGATCCCTGGGTCAAGACGATCCCCCGGAGAAGAAAGGCAATGGCAACCCACTCCAGTGTTTTTACCTGGAGAATCCCAGGGACAGGGGAGCCTGGAGGGCTATAGTCTACTGGGTCGTAAAGTGTCAGACACAACTGAAATGACTGAGCATGCATGCATCCCCATCCCTTTATGGAAGAAAGTCCAAATTCCTTAAGAGGCACTAGTACCTAGTGGTTAAGGGCAGGGATTTTGAAGCCAGAAGGCCTAGTTCAAACCTGCCTCTACCTGTTACCAGTTGTGTAACCTAGTTTGCAAAGAGGGTAAAATATCAGGTCTTTGACAGCGCCTGACACCACCCTCTCTGTGCCTCAGTTCTACAATCTGTAAAATGGGAGAATAGTAGTAGTACATGGAAAGCCTTAGTAAATGTTGGGCCTTATGATGTTAGCTTTTCTTGGTTTACAAGACTTGGCAGGGCTCCCCCTTCTAGCCCCATTTTCCATCTTTACTACTTGGAGCAGCATTAAGCTGCGCCTGACTTCCCCCACACACCAGACTGTCTCCTGTCTCTCTGTTTGCTCATGTTGTCCCCTGCCTGGAATGCCACCCCTCCATCTTCCTTGATTCATCTCTATCCCCAGCATCCAGCATGAGGCCACACCCAGGGTAGCTTCTTGGTGAATGTTTGCAGTACTTGTCCCCCCAGCAGATAGCACTGGCTGCTGCTGGAGGCAGAGGGGAGAAGTTAGGACAGAAAGGACTTGAAACCCATATCCCTGGAGCTCTGGGGAGAGGCCCTCCTGATCCCAATACAGAATTCCTCAAGAGATGGCCAGAATAGGATTCTCAGGGGAACTTTCATAAGACTGCAACAGTCCTCACATTTTCCTTCTAAAGCTCACATCTCTGAGGTTCTTTATTCCTTCTCTTTCTTTTTTTTAATTCCTTCACTTTCATTCCATCCTTAGGGAAAGGGAATTCTGCCCTAAATAAACAAATATAGTCATTAATTCAAAATATATGTTTTGAGACTGACTTTGGATGCTGTTAAAGTGCTGCACTCAATATACCAGCAAATTTGGAAAACTCAGCAGTGGCCACAGGACTGGAAAAGGTCAGTTTTCATTCCAGTCCCAAAGAAAGGTAGTGCCAAAGAATGTTCAAACTATCGCACAATTGCACTCATCCCACACGCTAGCAAAGTAATGCTCAAAATTCTCCAAGCTGGGCTCCAACAGTTCGTGAACTGAGGACTTCCAGATGTTCAAGCTGGATTTAGAAAAGACAGAGGAACAAGAGATCAAATTGTCAATATCTGTTGGATCATCAAAAAAGCAAGAGAGTTCCAGGAAAACATCTACTTCTGCTTTATTGACCACACCAAAGCCTTTGACTGTGTGGATCACAACAAACTGGAAAATTCTTCAAAAGATGGAAATACCAGGCCACCTGACCTGCCTCCTGAGAAATCTGTATTCAGGTCAAGAAGCAACAGTTAGAACTGGACATGGAACAAAGGACTGGTTCCACTTTGGGAAAGGAATGTGTCAAGGCTGTATATTGTCACCTTGCTTATTTAACTTATATGCAGAGTACATCATGTGAATTGCCAGGTTGGATGAAGCTCAAGCTGGAATCAAGATTTCTGGGAGAAATATCAATAACCTCAGATATGCAGATAACACCACCCTTATGATGCTTTTGAACTGTGGTGTTGGAGAAGACTCTTGAGAATCCCTTGGTCTGCAAGGAGATCCAACCAGTCCATCCTAAAGGAAATCAGTCCTGAATATTTATTGGAAGGACTGATGCTGAAGCTGAAACTCCAGTACTTTGGCCAGCTGATACAAAGAACTGACTCATTTATTTGAAAAGACCTTGATGCTGGGAAGGATTGAAGACAGGAGGAGAAGGGGATGATAGAGGATGAGATGGTGGGATGGCATCACCAACTCAATGGGCATGAATTTGAGCAAGCTCTGGGAGTTGGTGGTGGACAGGGAAGCCTGGTATGCTTCAGTCCATGGGGTCGCAAAGAGTTGAACACTGCTGAGAGACTGAACTGAACTGAACTTGGACCAGGCATAGTGCCAGGCACCAGGGAGAGCTGGAAATAGGATAAAATTACAGTTTTATATTCCAGTGGGGAGGCAAGCAGTAAATAAATGAATAATTAAATAAGCAAGTTAATTTATAACAGTAATGAGAACTATAAGGAACTTTTTAAAGTAACATGATAGAAAGTTATAGGAGGTGTGTGAGGAGTGTGGGAGGGGTGTTGGGATATGGGCATTACTTATAAGGTTGTCAGAAAAGGCCTGCATTTAACTGAGACTTGAATGACCTGAGAAACCAGCCATGGAGAAACTTCGGGAAGGACTGAGTGTTCTAGACAGAGGGAACAGCTAGTGCAAAGGCCCTGAGGCAGAAATGAGTTTGATAGATTTCAGGAACAGAAAGAAGGCCAGTGGGGCTGGAGCAGAGTGAACACTGGGGAGAGAGGAAACTGGAGGGGAAGGCAGGGCAAGGTCATGTGGGCCTTTACAGGCCAAGGGGAGGGAATGGGTTTGATTTTAAGGTCCATTGGTGGGCTTTAAGCAAGGAAGTAACACCATGTGGTTTGTGTTTGTAAAAGATCAATGGTGGCTGTGTGGGGGCTGGGCCACTAAGGGACAGGAGAGGAAACACGGAGACCAGGTAGGGGCCATGCCGCCGTCCAGGTGAGAGGACTGAGCGGTTTGGAGGTCATGATAATGGAGAGAATTGGATGGACCATGGGTTGATTTTAGAGGTAGAGTCTCTTAGTTGGGTCCTTCAGGAAGCAGACACTAAGATAGCATTAGATATGCAAGTGGTTGATAGGAGACTAAGGCCGGTGAAAGAGAAAGAGGAGAAAGAAGAATTGGGCAGGTTGAACCTCAGACCTCCGTGCAGATCTGACAAAGCCTTGGCCTTCTTAACAGGGTGTTCTGGAGCCAATGGGCTTCCCCGGTGGCTCAACAGTAAAAGAATCCACCTGCTGGTGCAGAGACAATGGTTCGATCCCTGGGTTGGGGTGATCCCCTGGAGGAGGAAATGGCAACCCACTCCAGCATTCTTGCTTGGAGAATCCCATGGACAGAGGAGCCTGTTGGGCTACAGTCCATGCGGTCACAGGAGTCAGACATGACTGAGCACGCATGCACTCTGGGCCAGCAGTGCCTATCAGGGAAGTTTGGCATTGGGCAGAAATGCCCAGTTCCCAGTATACTTTTCATGCCCAGTCATTAATTGAGTACTTTTCCAGAAGAGGGTGGCTTCGGCTCAAAAAGTGGGGTGACGTCCACACAGAAACCTGCACGTGGACATTTACAGCAGCTCTGTTCATGGTCGCTAAGACGTGAAAGCAACCAAGATGCCTTTCAGTAAGTGAATGAATAACTAAACAGATATATCCAGACGATGGAATATTATTCAGCAATAAAAAGACAGGAGCTGTCAAATCATGA